GTGCATCCCCGCGCCACACGCCCGCCTCGGTTGGGGGGGTGATGCCAGGAGGTGCTGGTCCCCCAGCCGCACCAGCCACAGAGCCACCAGCCACGCCCAGCCACCAGCAGCCACGACACCAGCCGCAAGCCACCCACCAGCCACCAGCCCCCACCAGCCAGCCACACCAGCCACACACCACCACGCCACAACCCCCCCCCCCCCCCCCCCACCAGCCACACCAGCCACGGCCGGTGCGGCTGGTGGCTGGCGTGGCTGGTCGGGGACGTGGCTGGTGTGGCTGGTGTGGGGGCGTGGCTGGTGTGTGGCTGGCCGGTGTGGCTGGTATGATACCGCATACGTATCGGTATCGACCGAACACCCCGATTACAACCATGATCATACGAGCCAAGCAAGCGACTCAAAAAATCATGTGCATCATTAGCATCATTGGCGGCTCGTTTCTCCATTCCAGGGCAAGCCGAAACACTTCGTTTTCATGCCCGAAAAAGAGGGTGTCCGCCCCACGGGAAAATCCAGCTCCAGGTGTAGTCTAGCTCGGGAAACCGGCACCGTTTGGCCAGATATGCCAGATTTTGGGGGACATTGGGGGACCCTTTCCGCACACCCCTTGTTGCAATTTTCGGTTGATAAGAAACTCCGCTAGCCCCGGAGGCTAGCTTTCGTGACCTAAGAAACGCGGCCCATGACGACCATTTTGCTCGCGATGACTGCCGTCTTTTCGTCTGCCTCGATTTTTTCCACGTCGCATTCGAAATCTGGGTGAACGGCGAACCGGGTCCGCATTATTCCGCAGTATCTGCATTCGTGCCGCACAGGGTGTTGCTTGTGCCGGGTTCTCTGATCCCATCAAGATATCACCTCCTGTGTATGGTGGACTCATGTTTCGGCCAGCTGTGTTATGACGAGAAAGTGATGAGAAGCCTCCCCTATTTGATGGAATATGTATTCTTCCCTGCAATGCATGCCAACATACGAGCCATGTTCAATAGACGCTGTAAGCCAACGTCTGGCACATTTGTACTAAAAGGACCCTTGGATTCCGGAATCTTCCGCAGTCGCACATCACGAATGACCCGTATCAAAACGAGGAAAGGTGGGGTCCCGTGGGTCGGGTGGCTCGCAGACATTGCGAATGGCACCTCAAGCACTTTGCACTCGAACTTGGAGATTCTAGACAAAATTTTGGTGCGATGAAACTCCCACTCTCCACATCTATGTCGTCCCAGAAGAAACAACAAAGCACCTTTGACATCATCCTTTGGCCTTGAATCATTGAAGCCAGTTTACTGCAGCTGCACCGTAGCTGTAACTAGTCTTTGGTCCCGTGGGCAGTTGTGTGGGCTTCATGACTCAGTTTGCGTTTCAACCGATTCGGTTCTTCAAGATTTCATGGATGTACCGATGTTTGTTGTTGGCTTTGTTCTTGTTTTCAACACCTGGGCCCGGACCTGGGCTTAGGCTTTGTCGATCATCAGGGTCTTGCAGTGAGGAGTGGCAACAAAAATGATCCTGTTGCTGCTGAGGCCGCGCGGAATACACATGAATACACTGCTGATCCCATATGTTTCCAAATCATGTGACACAACGTATATACTCAAGAATTTTAGTAGACGTGACAGAACGTATATTTGTAGCGACGCGCATGCGCCGTTGGATGCAAGCCTCCGACCAAAATCGACCTCATCTCTCTAGCAATCATCTCTCAATTTGTGCTCCATGAGTTCTCCACCACAGGCACGTAATCACACATCTGTTGCACTTCAACGACTTGGTAGCCTGATCCAGCCGCCTCGAGCTCCAACGGTGAGTCGCACACAAGGTGCGATGCGGCAAAGCGCTCAAAAGATCACCTCTGAACCAACACCAGGCTGTCGCTGATCTCTGTCGTCGCCGAAGTTATTCACCGGCCGAGTTTTGCTTGTGATCGTGAAACATGTTGCAACACACTTTGGTAGTAAATCCGGTTTGCGTTCGTCACATCACTGCGGACAGAGGATCTTGTGTGTTCGTGATGAACCCTGTCAGAGATGCAGCGCGCGTTTGCGCACGACTACAAGGTGGAGCAGCGACGGGTCGACAGACAGCAGGGTCGTAGCGCATGCGGCGGCCACAAATCTCAACGCTTTTTTTCACAAGCACGATCAAGAACGTCAACCGGGTTCAAATCCAGTCGCTGCATTTCGGGTGTTTGCCACTGCATTGGGGTAGCTAAGCCTCAAGCTTGATGGAAAAATGCAAGGAGAGAAAGAAGAACACCAACCCCACTGGCAAATCAAGGAAAGCCCAAAATAATATGCTACATGTTTGTCGGATCTTGGTATCCATCCAACTTTCTGGCGGGGCTTTCCTGCACCTTCTTTGCTGCACGTTTTCTTTGCCATTGTTTGCCCTTGCAGGCCCTTACCTTCTTTTGCTTCGCCAGAAGAGCAGCTGTCTCTACAAAAAGGCCAGGCCAGGTGCTGAGGGATCAATGCAGGGCTTACAGCTTTGCAAGGTTTACAGCATGTCAATCTGGTTCTTCCAAGAACTCGGCAGAACATACACTCGGTCAACTGACGGCTTCTAAACTTTGCCGCTGGCCTCGTAGACGCAGTCATGCTCAGGGCATTTTGCCGTATGACTTATGCGATTTATGCGTCAAAACTGATGGGTAATTCTTTGAGCGCTCTGCATCCACCCAACCCCAAACCCTCCCCTCACTCCGTCTGCATCTGCTGCATTCTCAGGGCACTCCGACGGATCTTTGGCTGGGCTGTCTATTTCCGTTGTTTGTCGGTCAGGGCTTTGGCACACTTGACTTTCAACAAACCAGCAATTGCAGTGACTGCTTCACAGAGCCACTTTTCTGAACTGAAAGCTGCAGCGCCAGTGCTTCTTTTTCAGACCGTGCGTGCGGTAGGCCAAGAGCAGCCAATATGGCACCAGCTCGCTACACAGTAGACTCATGTGGGGAGGCACAAGAGCTTACGTGCATAAATTTGTATGTAGTGATTGTATGCCGCAGCGCTTGAAGGGTCTGGGGTTCCTGGATGACGGAAGATGAAGATTGTGCATGCTACTGCTCTCTCAGCCAGGACACCGTTGCTGCACCCGTGTCAGATCTGTAGAATTCGACTCTATACCTCGCGACAGGCATGCTGAAAACCCAATGCAGAGCCTGCGACGTATCTATGCGAATCTATGCCACAGCGAGCCCCGGCCTCTCCCCTTTCGATCCTCTGACACACCAGCAATTTTCTCGCTTCGTCTCCTCTGGCCCGCGGACTGTAGAAGACTTCATCGATGTCCTGGTTGCTGTGCTGGTTTCAGGACGGCTGCGGAGGCGACTGTTGGAGGCAGGGCTGTTCCAGAATGCTTCCCCTGCTTTTGAGTATACAAGAACAGCAATGCAAATTCTAAAGCGTCTGTGGCGTCCCCGTGTCGTTCAAACTGAAAGGTGTGCAGAACTAAACCTCCTGTCACAGACCTGCAAAAACGCGGATCAGATGATAAGTCCGCTTGCCACAAAATCTCTGATCTGAAACTCTGTGTAACATACCATTGTTTACCTCAGACATCAACGCTTGTTGCTGATATCAGACGACGCGAGTTCAGTGGTGCTAGCTTGATGTTTTGTCCCATACAGGCCACCGAACCCGCCACGTCCAGCCTGGTGGATGGATGGAAAGTCATCTTCGGCTCTTTGTCTGCAATGATTTGAAACCTGACCCCCGGCTATGGATGTCGCTGCACAAGAAGCTACGACACCTAAGTTCTTAGCTCTCCTGGGCTCCGTGCTCTTCCTCAACGTTGGCAGTAATGCGAATAGACGCGTAAAAGAGGCCGGGCACACTTGCATCTGCCTTGTCTTGCGCCAGGTTGCCATGGTCTGCAGCGATAGTTCTGCCAAGCCGCCTCCATTTCGTCATATTTCCAATCGTTAAAGGTCCCGGTGATGTAGTAGGGGCAACCTCGGACAGCCGCGGTTGCAGGTGCCCTCTGAAAGCTCGCAGCTGTCTCCTTGTCTCCTCTGAGGCTAGAACCCATGTCTGGTACCTTTCCGCAACGCTCATGGCTCTCCCCTCTTGCAAACTTGCCGCAGCTAATGGTTTACGAATACCAACCTCCTTGTCCTTCTTCCAATAGCTCACGACGCCATCAGGATCAAGCTCAACCTGAGCGGAAGCCGAATAATTGGACTTTCTCTTCAACCTCTTTACCCACCTCGAAGATGTCGTTAAACCTTGCGTCCTTGTCAGGACCGCCCATCTCCCAGTCCTGCAGTATATGCGTCTCTTCTAGATTCTTAAACTTACGGATTAGATCGAAGGCGTGCCTCCCAGTCGTCCCCAACAATCGTAACCTCCTGGGGAGGTGCATCCTGCATCTTCCTGATGAAGAGGCTGTATAGGTCCTGCAGTCGCTAAACCGCATGCTCCAGCTCCAGCATGATGAGACGAGACGTTCTACGTTGCAAGAGTCTGCGTGCAGCATGTAATAGCAGAGCAAAATAAAAGCATATATGAATTAAGCGGGCAGCTCCTGCCCCAACCTGAAGAAGGAATCCAGAACACTGAGACAAACTCAATCCTTACAGTTATTACATCCTTGCTGTTCATCTCAAGCTAGAATGACTAGCTTCCACACAGCAACCGAGCGGTGTTGTTTCTATTTCAATCCTAAGGACGCAAAAACCCTTCCGCAAACCCCTTCCGCCACTGCGTTGGCACGTTTTTGAGTCATTTCATGTCGTCCCTTCCGCGTGCCCTTCCGCGGACCGTGTTGCGAGCGAACCCTTCCGCAAGAGCATAAGCCCCAATTGACGTATTACGTTAACTCCTTTCAGCGAATGCGGGCACCATAGTTTATGTTGCAACACTTCCTGGGCATGCCTCGAAGAGTACAACATTAGCGGGTTCAAGCTCTAGTGTATGTTTCGGTCCACACACGTCTTCTTTGGGAGCGGCGACTTACCGTATTTGGTGCTTCCGCGCCCTTCCGCGGAGCAACGCCTTCCGCAGCCCTTCCGCGTCCTTCCGCACGCACAGTCTCAGCAAGATTTGGAGATCAAGTGAAAGTTTTGTGTCCAACTTTAATCTTCCGTAAGAAGCGGACAAAAATAAAACGCAGCTCAACTGTTTTTAGACAGCTCTTGCTGCAAAAGGAACTATTTCTGCTGCCGGTGACAAGGTCACAACATTGACTGAGTGCATCCAGGACTGGCCTTGTTTGTGCCAACTCCTCTCGATGTCATTTGGTTGACACCCCAGACCTCGGTGATCTCAACATCGTACGTGTCTAGTCTCTACACTCTAGACATGTCTCGACAGTCTAGATGCCTGCCTCGACAAAACACCTGGAGATAACCAGCGATGCTCAGACAGAACGAGGTCAGGTGCCCTGTATTTTGTGGATGCGACTGTTCACCGCAGGGCTTGTTCAAAAGGGGCCAAGCAGGGGTACCATGCATTCGTGCATGTGGGTCATTTCTGTCAGACAAAGCGCCAAGAGTAGGTTAGCGTCTGCTTAAGAAACGGTACCGGCAGCTAGCCAGTGCACACGAAAGCCGACTTCAAAACTTGAGAACAGAACCAAGGCAGACATGGACTTTTAGCACGGTGATCCAGTACAGAAAATTCGACACCATTTAAGGTGCTAACAGTTGCCTCCTCTACCTCCTCCCCTCCTCCTCCTCCTTCCTCCCCCTCCTGCTCCATCTGCTGCTGCTGCAAGCCTCCACCGCCATTAGCGTTGCAGAAGCGACGACGTGCGATTTGTGGTGAATACGCCGAGGTTCACGCTGTAGCACAAGCATTCGTCCCACCGAAGCCGAAGGACAAGACGCCATTGTACGAGGCCTGTCGAGATGCACCGGTGCGAACAGGCTCACACCAGCATAGGCAAAAACACACCTCTGCACGGAAAGTGGCATTCTCTGTTGTGATGATCCCAGGAAATCCAGTCATGTCCAAGTGCCTCCACGGAAACTATACTGCAACGTGGCACACGTGGAAGTAATATTGAGGGCAACACGGGTTCAAGCAGTTGAGGTGGCAGTTGGGCGTTGCTTCGCCATACCTGGGCTTTGACCAAGCAAGAATGCACAAGGTGATAGGGCAAAAACCAAAACCTTCTTTGAAGTCTCCAACTTCTGAAGTCCAAAGTGTTGTGATCTGGCACGTCTCCAAAGTAAGCTTCATTACCCGCATCGTCATCTCAATGTCTTCTGAGGATCCAACAAGCTCAAAAGCACACACTTCAGAAATCCAGAAATTCCAGCACTGCCTCACCGCGCGTTTGCAAAGTGCTCCGAAGAACAGCTCGGAGCATTGCCGAGTGCATAGAATCGCAACCTTGCCTTCACAGTGACCGATGTTGCTCTTGGAGGACGTGACGACCACGGGTTCGTGCCTTGCACGAGAAACATCGAGAAACTTCTTTGTCGATCGGCATTTCATTGGTCCCTGCCCCCCAGCCTTGGTACAGAAGCCATGACCTGCACCAAAATGGACCCCTTTGGTGTTGCGACTCCCAAGACGTTTCCAAGAATGGCTATGCAATTCTGCTGGAGTGTTGGCGCCTTCCTATAGGCACCAATCTCGATGGGATCTCCCAAGGAAGTGCCTGTACCGTGGCCTTGCGGAACGAACTGATGGCTCTGCGACACATGCTGCAACGTCTCAGTGCATGACACTCAGTGGTGTCGATCTCCGGTGGCTTCACACCGATTTCCTTCATGACAGCCTGTCCCGGGATTTATGACAGAAGCCGCATGAGCCAAGGACCGCGAATCCAATGGTACTGTAGCAGAATCACAAAACACTGGTCACTGGAGCGACTATAGAGAGCCAGCCTGTGCACATCTTTCCTGCGCTGGTCCGTTCGGTGCAGTCAAAGAAGCACTGCGCCCATCCTTCAAGGTCATGCAGCGAAGCAAATCTCAAGAGACTCATTCCTTTACCCCGTCGCACACTAGCTCACTAGCCCACCTGGTTCACCTGGCTTCCTGCCAAGAGGCAGAAGTCGCCCTGCTCCCTGGCGTGCACCATCGCATCGATTCAGGAATACGAACATGAGAACTTCTGCAGATATATCGAGGCCTTTCGAACGGCTTTAACTTCAGGGCAGTGGATGCCGTAGCCTTTGGTGGGCCATCGGTCGTTACATGTCGCTACATTTCAGCCCCGTTCTCAATCTCGCTTCGGCTGAAAGGCCTCACCCCTAGTGTAGCCGTCCGCCGAGAAGTTGTAGGTGAAACAGCGACCAAGGTGAGAATGCATGCCTGCCGTTACCAATTGCATGGCCGCACGGGACCGAAGGCACCCCACTGATGCCACCTTGCCTGCACCGCACCCGCTGACGTACGTTAGTGGGCTCAAGCTCAAGTTGACGCCACAGATGATTACTGCCTGCCAGTGCAGAGCTGGTGCTCATGCATCTTGTACAGTTCGGCAATCCCAGCATTGCTGCGACACTCAACACAATCTCAACACAAATACACAAGATGCTGTCAGCAGCTGCCAAGCAGACGTCCTTTTTCTGCACTTTCCGACGCTATTCCCTGTCCAGGACCTCGGCTTCATTTCTCGTCAGCACTTGCGTTCGCAGGAGCCCACATAGTCATTCAGAACATGTGACCTGGTCTCGGCCGCAAGCCACTCGCTTCTTCGTCTTTTTGCTCGCGGTCGCAACTGTGCCTGCAGAAAGCTCATGCACTACCCTTGCACGCAAGCAAGTCAGCCACAGCGAGACACGCCTTCTGAGGATGTTCGAGGTGGCTCATCCTGTTTGGACTCTTGCGCCATGGCATATGTCCACGTCGACGAAATTCCCTGACAGGCGTAGCATGCAGACTTGCCTGCACCAACCCTCCTCGAAGTTGAATGATAAACTTAAGATTTTGGTTCGTCTCTTGTTGTCGTCGCCTGCACTTGTCAGAAAGCCATCATCTCTGCTCTGAGAAGAATTTCTTAGTGATGTGTTCCAAACAGATTTAGGAGCGACCTTCCTAGTGGCCCATGGCACAACTGGACGGCGACGGGACACCAATTTTACAGCTATGGCGAATGATCTGCCATATTCTGCCATTTCTCTTGGAAAGCCACGACAAGCGTGCGTGCTTCTCAATTTAGGCTTTCAAGGACAACGAAGCTATAACAACGTTGGACTTCCACGATTGTGGAAGAGACTTCCAAGGAGCTGACAAGGTGCGCTCGTCACATAGACATCGCATTTCCTACACTAGGTCACTAGGTAGGTACTATTTTTGCAGCAGCAGGCAGCGAGTTTGGAAAACTTCGGAGTCGCACGAGTCGGAATCCCTCCAGACCTGCTCCTAGCCCCTGAAACGTGTCAAAAACACTGCAGATGGAGAGCCTCAATTCCTGCCCCTGCTGCAGCAGAAAGACCATTGTAAGCACCTGGTCAGGACGTCTTTGCGTTTCTGCTTTCCGGCTTACGTTCGCTCGCCTTCCATGGCAGCCAGCCCCTCGTTCACAGCCGTCGTGACTGCGTCAGTTACCACCATTCCACCGTCGACCGCTGAAGCGAAAGCGGATGCCATTGAAATTCCAGCTTCTGGCTCCTCTGGCGCGGAACCTCAGAAAGCGTTGATTAGTGCTGTGAAACGCCTTCTTCTCTGCAGCGGCGTGGGCACCAAGTTGGCGGCTGAACGTCGATTTGACATTGGAGGCCTTTGAAAAGTAGGCCAGCTGCCTGAGCGGTAACCCAGATGCAACGCCGACTCAAGCACCCGAGTCTGCCAGCGGGGGAAAACACAGCGAGTGAACTGCCCCTCCTGCCTACATCCGAAACACATCAAGACATTGAATGCCACATAGATACTCAACCCCGAACCGACACGACTGAACTCACACTTTTGAAACCGGCATGTCCGACCACCCTCGCCCCTGCTCCTGCTTCCCCGAACCGCCCTGTTGACAAAGCTTTGTGGATTCGATCCCCAGGCACGTTCGAAACTGCAGCCTTGCCGAAGAAGCTTCAAAAGCCAACGATCGGCGGCTGCCACATCCTGCTTTGGACCAGACTTTGGCAAGAGCACGTGCATGTGATCCACGCGTATGTCAGGTGGCCTGGAACTAGCTGATGGACTCCCGTTTTCGTCTCCGACTTTCCTGGTGCCTGCACGCGTATGTGGTTCACACATTCCTGTGCGATTGCTGCCAGCAGACTTGGCACACATCCACAAACACTCCTTGTGCCACAGCTCGACCGTCAAAGATGGCATTCCCGCACTTCGTGGATCCAGCCGGAAATCGAAGCTCTCAAGCCACTCAACTTTGCCCCAAGTGCCCTTGGTAATACACAGACATCGTGGTATCAGCAGACAGCCATAGAACTACGAGTGACAGAAAAGTGTTGCTTAAGTGATCAAAAATCTGCGTGGTGCTTCAACATCTCCGGGCCCACTTCGTCCAGCACTTCGGCCAGGTCGCTGTCCTCTATCCGGTATTTCTGCAAGATTTGGAGCTTCCTCTGCAATTCAGCGTCGTTTCGCGGACTTTTCTGACTTGTCCTGCGAGGCGTAGATACTGGTGGGCAGTTTGGTCAACAAGCGAAGCTTCCTGTTCCATTCCAGGTGATCAGGGATGGAGCACTCAGATTTCTTGATGGCAGTCGGAACTATCAAAAAACAAAAGTGGATTGGTTGTGGTCAAGACTTTCCAGCACAAAACGATATGGTCTTGGTCCAACAGTGCTCAACCAGGCTTTCCGGAAGCGCAGTAGACAATACCAGTCTTTGCGGGCGAAAGCTTTGGGCAGAGCCTGCGACGTTGTGTGGAAGAACTCGCTAGGTGCTAACATGGAATCATCAGAATCAGGCTGGACGAGTTGAAACTCCACCGCAAATCCCGCAGTTCTTGGACAGATTTCTCTGGATCTGAAGGTCGTCGATGGACCTCTTGAAGTTCTAAGAACGTTCCAACCATCCTTGCAATGTAGGACATAAACAATCGCATCTTTCTGCCCAAGGGGCTGTCATACTAAGATTCCTGCCTGCTTGCTTTTGGTATGCATAAGACACAAGTCGGACAACAAAACTTCGTAGCTCTTAATTGGGACCATGACCCGCGAACATTGGCGAACTCAAGTGAGGCGAGCCCGATCCGAAAGCAAAACCAACAAACACAATCCCTAAATCTGAATCCTACACCTCAAGCCGGTCATGGAAACAAACAAACTTGGACGCAAACCAAGACAGATACACGGCCTCGTCGTCTTGCCGGCACTGCCAAGCTGAAGAACAACCCAGAACACACCGTCAACGCGCGGCACCATTGCCGAGTATATGCCGACCTTGGAACCCGAGCCAGAACATGTTGCGAGCCGCGTTGGACGGCTCAGTTGGGCTTTGAGTTGTGAGTTGTTCTGCAGCGCAGGCTAAGTAAGTCTTGCAAGCTGGCCCCGTCAATGACCATCACCTGGGGCAAATGCGGACTCTTCTTGGGAAGGAAAACTTCCCTGATCCGACCGACATCCTGCAGGATGTACGCGCGGGCAATATGGTTGCATCATTGGCTTGGCCCTTTTTTCTTTAAGCACAAGTTGTTGTCCAACGTCGAATGACTGCCTACACAGCACAAGGAGCGCGCGCACACACACACACACACACGCACACACACACACACACACACACACACCTGCAATACATTCATGTCTGACCGACACCACTTGCTAAGCGAAACATCAACCCACACGCCCCAACCGAGCAGAAATCTCTAAGCGGATGAAAGAAATCGCGGCTCCGAGCCAGAACTCCGTCTCGAAACCCGAGCGCAGGACCCTGAAACCACAGCGAAAGTTCCATCACCCAGGAACCTCGAATCCCGAACTTCAGACCCTCAGCCAAAACCAACAGTAACGGCCACGATGGTATCAAGCCGTTCCAACCCATCCTCGAGTTCGCAAGCTCACCTTCGCGGCTTCGTGTGCAAGCTAGCTTGCAAACAAGTTCCGTGTCAAAGCTGCACGATTACCCCACCGAGAAAACAGTCCACCTCGAATGTGAACAGCCGCAAACGGCACCGCGTTGGTGTTGTTGTTGTTGTTGTTGCTTCTGCTTCTGCTTCTGCTTCTGCTTCTACTTCTAGTTCTGCTTGTGCGTGCGCTTGCGCTTGCGCTTGCGCTTGCACTTGCTCTTGCTCTTGCGCTTGCGCTTGCCTTTTGCATGTGCTTGTTGGTTTTGTTGTGGCTGGTGTTGTCGCAGCTGCTGCTGCTGCCGCCGCCGCCGCTGCTGCTGCTGACGGCGGTGCACTTGTGCATCGTTGTGCCTGTGTTGCTTGCTGTTACTGGAGTAGCAGTAGCAGCAACTCTGAAGTGTGGTGACTTATGTATGACCTCGTCCAACATATAGCGAATCTTAGACTAAGAAGTCAGGCTGCCGAAAGAAGTGCTGGCAGGGCGTCCTGCATCTGCAATTCTATGTTCTGACTGGAGCTGCGGTTGTGGAAGCTTTGTTCATGGGCAGCACAGTCCTCCTCCTGCACGGCATGGACCGGCCACCAGTCGAAGCTGACGTTGATAGACTGCTTCGATGCAGGTGCACCGCTCGGATCCGTCGACTCAAGCGTGTAGGTTCGAGCCCCTGACATGAAGATTGAACCACGGTGCTGTGTACTCATGATGCTGATGATCGTGGCTTTCAGCTCTGCTTACCGTAAGGCAAACCTGGCCCAGCCACCATCTCGAGCGGCACTCACAAGGTCAGCAGCTCGCAGGCTAAGGAAGCCGAGCTGTTCATAGGAAGCAGCCTAAGGGGCTGCAAACAAAGAACCAATGACAGCCCGTGGTAGGATGTCCCACACTTCGCACTAAAGTCTGAGCGACTGCAGGAGAATTCTGCTGACCCCACACGCAACTGCAACTGGATTTACCCCTCCGCAACCCTCCTGTAGGCCAACCAGGCAACCCAGTCTCTCGACAGCTTCACCAGAAGCCGCTGGTGAGCGCATGCTCGCACAAGGACGGGCAAACGACAAACATCGTGGAGTGAAGCCGAGCATGCATCCAGCTCGCAGCAAGCGGAGTGAACATCAGATCCAAAGATCATCTCAACGATGTACTTGCCTGACTGCAGACCCAAAGATTTTCAGCGTGGCCCGCTTTGCCCGTTCCCCTATTCTGCGTACTTACATGCATACCGTCGTCCGTGGTTCCGAGACATCCTCATTCGCTCAGCACACTGTGCGAGGGCTCTCATTAATTCGGCATGAAATAGTCTTGCAAACACCCGCCTGGTTCTGCAAGTCCCTTGATTGAGGTGATCTGAAGGATGAGAATGCCTTCCACACCCGGCCGCTTTACATCCAGGATGTCAAGGCTGCTCGTCCAAGAAAGGCCCTGGCAGTTGGGGAAGACCATCTTCTCTGCCCACTTGTCTGAGATGGCTTGAAAAATCATGCGTTTCAGCATTGCGAAATTCACAGCTATGGCTAATTGGCCGCGGTCGATATCAAACTGGATATCCTTGGTTCATGCTTGGCAACGTGGGAAGCCACATGTTGCCACTGCACATCACTGCATGCCATGTCAACTTTTTGCATTGAAGCAGCTGGCGGCGTTGGAAAGAAAACGCGGAAGCCCGAGAGCAAGCTTCGAAGGGATCGGGATCCGCCACAAGACAGCAACAGTTCGACGATCAGATTTCCAACGACTCTGAGGTTTACGATTCCCAACGTGGCTCCTGTAAACATCAAGTAGACCGAACTGTCACTGTCCCATTCTAATCGCAAGCTTATGGTGAAGCTTGCAGGACTCGACCAAGATGCATGCGGCGCCAAGAATCGCAAGGGCCTTGTCCCCAAAGTAGAACGCTGCAAGTCCACACTGCACTTGTTGAGAGGTGAGGGCAGCTTGCTTAAAGCCAACCGTATCGAGGGTTCCAGTTGCATTGTCAGCTCCCTCGTTGTGTTTTCTGCCACGTATGGCCAGAGGTGATCCAACATACGATTAACAGCAACATTGTCTTCTGCGGCCGGCACCGATGTCGCGGCTGCCAGCTGCTGCCGCAACCTCAGGCACTGAATGACTGCTCTCTGCTCTCGTACTGTGAGATCTCTCATGTCTCTGCTGCTATCTGTGTCAAACGCACAGACACGGCACCGGCTCCTGCAAGAGATGCGCAAAGGGTTGCATGTACATCCACAACATGGCGATACGATGTGCCTTCCGTACATGCCCCTTAGCACCACCTTACTTCCGGTGCTGAGCACTTGTCTGTGCCCTTGCATGCTTTCTTCAGTCTTGCTAAGCGTACAATATTCGTTCGACCCGAACCGAATCCACCTTGCAACTGGATTTGAAGCATACTTCTCCGTGTGAAGACAAGCTGCAAATCGCATTCTTTCCGCAACCTCGAGACTTCCAGCGATGTAGTGGACATGCAGCAGCCCATGGCATCGTGATCTTGTAATTTAGAGAACAGAAAGAAGGAGATGGAGCAGCTACAGTATGTTGGTGACCACCGAAACAGGAGGTTGTCCAGGACTCTTGCCTTGGCATTCCTTGAGCATCGAGCAGTCCGAGAACCAGCTTGGATTCCATAGCTCAAGAACAGACAAAGCACCCAAAACCCTGCCTCGCAAGGATCATAGTGCTTGTGCATCAAATACCTCACAGGCTCGAGCCAGCCCCAGTCTACCACCTTGCATGATTCAGGCAAATGGGGCTTGGGCAGCTTGGCTGTATGAGTACACACCTGTTGACAAGAAGCAGGCACATCAGCAAGGAACGTTTGTTTATCCCGAGTTCCGAACTAGCGAAGCAGAGCAAGCTGTGTCGATCGTCATGCTTGCACCCTGGGTCAGACCGCGCTGCGTGCAGATTCTACGAATTGTCTTATCGCCCACAGAGGGCCTTCAGGTTCATGCAGTAGTTGAAACGGTTGGCAGTGATTGCATTCGCTCCGCTTGATGCGGCGAATCCACCAGAAATGTCCTGGAGAGGGCGGGCCTATTCGTCCAACCAGGGACCAGGATGCTCAGAAACTCCGCAGCAGGCAACACAGCGTCCACAAGCGCTACAAACACTACAAAGACAGTGACTCCGTCTTACGAAAACAGACAAGCCAGACCAGATTATCCAAGCCAAGGCCTGATACACAATCCTAGCCGTCCTAGCCGTCCCAGCTCATATGGATATCTTCGGATTGCATCTAACGGCGGACAAGCATACTATGTCACTATGTGAACTCTCAGAGTCGCCACTCAAATGCATGTCTCCTTCGGTATGCTGTTCCACTCATTCTTGTCCAGCCCAACAAAAACGCCAATGTTGGCAGGCTTGGCCTTGCAGGGACAGTAGCTCGCGTGTTCGACGCACGGCACAAATGGCCCGAATGGCCTGGAGGCTTTTCTTCGTCCATCCAGCGCCCTGAAGGGAGATGTAAGAGACCTGGAAGGAGGGAAAAGAGTCTTCCTCTTTCTTCTTTCTTCCTTCCTTCGCCCGAAAGGAAGGTTGCCTCTAAGACCTGGCGCTGCGTCGGATCCATGCCTGAAGACCCATCGGACTCCCACGTCTCTCCTCGCGCTCTCGCGGCCCTCGCTCGCGGCCCTCGATCCGCCTCTGGCTTCAGCCGGAGAAATATCGAAGAAGCGGCAGTCAAAAAGTTCTATACCTCAGGGCCAGCGCTTGATCTCAAACCGAATTACGACATGTGACCTAGAGACCATACACTAGCTTTCAGCATGATGACACAGTTTCGACCCGTGTGGAACAAGAAGACGACACAAGCCAAACCCGGAAACACCCCTTCCTACGAGTTCATGCCGCAGCTCCAACATGCTGCGATGTGATGGTCTGATCAACAGAGCTTCGAGCGTGCTCTTTTCAAGCTTTGCGGTCTTGTTGCGCCAAGAAGGCAACGAAAGCTAGGGGCGTGCCTATCTATGTGATTGCATGGGCGTGGACTGCTCCTCACGAAAACCTTGAAATGGGTTTCTCTCACTCCACACAGCCTCTCGGTTGCAGACATGCCATCACGATATCGCCACACTTCCTCATTGCTGTTACACCGCCCGAATGCGGCCTTAGCCTTGCGATGAAACCTTCCAGAGGCGCAGGCCCCCACGAAAGCCAAATGTTTTTTGCTGTCCCTGGGACCTCATGCTTAGACACGTCGTGGTGCGGAGCAGTTAGTAGGAACCTGCTGCCGCACGGAGTACCCTCGTCGTTTCGTTTGCGACCTATCGAGTTTGACGCCTCGAACACCTGTCTTGCGCAGAGCGGACACGAACCACATGAATTTCTGGGAGACCGCGCCATCAGAAAAACCACCATGGCAAGTGTAGGACTTGCCAGATGTTTGATCTGCGTCAGGATCGTAATAAATATCGCAGTCCCATCTTGATGTGGGATGCCTGGCAGATTGAGACAGACATTTCCGCTTTCCATATGGCAATGGACAAAGTGCGATGGGCCTGACAATGGTGTCCCAGCCAGCTTTCGCGTAGGCCACCCACGTCTTCCATGGCTCATCTACGCCAAAGGCATATCTCATGCCCATGGAAACCACCTCAAACAGTGGACCAGCTGTGCATGCAGAACAGTGCGAGTTGTCCAGAAGACTCCAAGCCGTAGACAGGTACTGATTCTACCTTTGGCTGCGAGGGCCCGCTGATCGACTTGGCACAGCCAGGCACCATGTCTTGCAGTGCCGGCACTCGCAAAGTTCAGCAGCTGACGCCCGTCAAGAATGTAAGGTCCCCGGTGATGTTATCAATGACCTCGGCATTCCGGGGCACACTGCCTTCTCCAAACATTTTCTCAAATCTCTGCCAGCAGAACTCAAAGGATGCGACATACTCGCGAGGAGCATCCAAAAAGAATGCAGAAAGCGACAAAGCTTTCCCATCTGAACTGCAGGCAAACTTGTACCTCAGCAGCGAGACGTAACGTAACCGCAAGCAAAAGCCAGCAAAGGCTTGACATTGCAGCGCCTGTCCATGCTGAATATACAAAGCATTCCCGGCTGGATGGTAAGCTGTGGCCTTGGTACCCCGAGTCATCTCTTACATTCCGAGACAATCCCCGAGGCAAGCACTCCACAGGATCCTGATCAGTGATGGCCTTTGGGGTCAGTGTCAGCACGCTGGCACCGGGCCTTATCGAGTCCAATTGCCCAGCCGCCGAGTCTCCATGGTGAAACGTAAAATGTGCTGTTGCTTTCTTCCGAGCATCAAGCCCAGAATTAATGAGGATCATGACCTTTGCCCGCCACCTTTGGAAAGGGCTGCCGAGAGACGCGTGAGAAAAGCATGACGACAGATGGGGGGCTCACATCATCGAGAGGAAGCTGGCAGCTTCTTCGTTTTCCAGCTCCGGCGCGGAGTAGAGATCCTGCCGGCTGCGCCGCTACGCCGCTACACACCATGTCGGGCTCTGGCTCGCGGGAGACCTGCGATGCTGCGATGTCAATGTCCCTTTCGAAACTGGTCTCTACATCAACACGTATAAATAGATTTTATGTGAAGTTCCCAATCACGGCAATCGGACTCTGCTGGAGGAAGTCCAGTTCAAAAGAAGCGACTCTGGCTGCGCAACTGGAGCAAGAAACAAGAAGCAAGAAGCGTGTGTAAAGGCGACTTCTGCGTGCCGTACGACATGCTACAGCATCTGAATCATGACCAAACTCCTCATCCTCGCTGAAAGGCAAAGACATCATCGTACCTCTGCAAGCTGCATCGCTGTGACGAACACCGGAAGTCTGCTGGCCGAGAAGGGAGCACTTTCCCACTTTCGCATGCACGCGTTTACGCCCAGGACATGTGCTAACTACAGGTGAACCATCGGTCACATGGGCGATCGCCTTCACACTGCCCTCAACGTGGACACGTGTCACAACACGCACCCAGGATCTCAACAACCACGGTGCCTCATGGTCCATGCACCAGCTAGGGTGTGAAGAACGTCTCTCTCACACGCTGGCTACCGGGTATAGGATTGGTCTTCCAACTAGTGGCGGCGCGCTCTTGCTTGAATTCCGATAAAGCATCGGAACGATGTGTCGACTGCCTGAAGTTGATTTCCAGAAACCCGGTCCGCTCTTCCTTGTACTTTTTCGTCGGAAGGGTTTCCAGTCCAAGAGGCTGTGCACGGGCAAGCCTCTTCCTTGCTTTCACGAGCTCCTCCTGGAGGCGGTCTCTTTGTGCAGATGCTTTGGTGAGCTCTCGCGATAGGGATGTGCCCTTCCTAGACAAGTGATGAAAGGCAGCTTCTGCCGCATTGTTGCGATCTGTCAGCGCGGTTTTCAGCCGCTCTCGCTGAAGCTTCAAGTCTGCCTGCCCGTCTTGCGACCAGTCATGCTCCAGCGACTTTTGGAAAGACCAGAAGCGAAAGGCCTCTGATGCTGCCTGCAGAGCCTCCCCTGGAAGCAAGCCGAGCAAAGCAAGTTCCTTTTCCTTTCCAGGTCTGTTGAAGTCCACTTTTATGACGCGTACAGCCTCTCCGGTCTGGCAAACCGGACATTCCATGTGCGATGGGAACCACATCTTCGCGTGCTGCTGACAAAACACGTGTGAGCAGCTGGTCAACCAGCCAACTTCCGTACGGCACCCACAGGCTCTTCCGGACTGCATGAAATTACAATGGATTGCGAAGATATTGTCTGCGTCAGAAGCCACGCCATCTTCTTTCGTGCAACTTGCCATGGCCAGAAGTGTCGGCACGGCAGAGCCAATCCCTTCAAGTTCACAACTCGAGCCAGCTGAACAAGTCTTGGTGTGACCTTCTTTGGACTTGCAACGGAATTCCTCAAAGCTGCCTGATCAGCCTGTCTTGTTGCTACCCCTGCAGTTGACTTTCGGAAGTGGCTTGAAAAAACTCTGTGCAGAAAACTGCCGCACAACCCCAAAACTCCGGATCGTTACTGTGAAAGCACGCTTGGCGAAGCAGAACTGCCCTGCGCGCTGCTGCGGCTGTAGATGTCGAAGCCAAGCTCGGTTTCTACGAAGGGTCGCAGCAATGTACCTACCTGCAGAATGCCAAGCGAATGTCGAATGACCGACAGGAGTGCGGACCAGGGTTGCGACAGTCTCAATGGCATCTTCGAAGATTTTCAAGGGCGACCTCAGGTTTTCTTCGTGGCCAACTGACCAATGGAGCGAACGGACAAGCGGACAATTGCAAGAGACTCGACTCGACGGCTGAGGCCGAGGCTCCCGTAGAAAGTCAGCTGTGTCGCTGCTTTCCAGATCGACGGACAGTGTCTTTCCCTTGCCCTCCTCTGCACAGCTCACAGCGCACGGCCACAGTCTCCTGGCTTGGATCGCTTGGCCGGTCCTTGCCCAGGTAGCCTGTCTCGAGTTCAGGAGGCAGGCGGGAAAACGCGCCTCCCTCAACGCACCTGCCAAGCGCAAAGCGTACGGGACAACTCAAAAACCAAGACAGTAATCTAGCAGATAATCCAAGCAGAGACACAAAATCGAGTCAAGTCAGTCAAGCCCCTCGGGCTTTAACGAGGCACATGAAGCCTCCGGACGTACTTTGGAATGAAGGCTCATAACAGCTGCTCTCTGGACACCGGAGATGCGCCGGGCCCGATCCCACTTAAAGACCACGAGAGGGGCGCACTGACGGAAAACCAAAACCACAAGCAGAAATCGAGCAGTAAAGAAGACAACACTTGCTGACCGTGTGCAAGGTTCAAACTTCTTTTGCTTGCCCACCCTCTGGTCCATGAGCCCTGTCATGTGTGCCGTAACACACCCGGGCTGCATCTAATGCAATCAACCTCCCTAGAATCTAGTTCCTTTGCCCTACACCTACAGAAGTGGCCCACTCGCACCCACTACAAATACCCAGGTGTGATAGTTGAATTCTCAGTGAAAGCATACACATCCCATCCATACTTCGTGCAAGTACTTCTCCCAATGCAAGCTGCTACTACATCAAGCTTTGCTTGAGCTCTCGACTCAATAACAGCCCGACTTCACATTGAAAAATCCAATGCCAAGAAGATTGCAAGAAGCCGATCACTATAAGGATACTATAAGGGCAGCATGTCTATATGTCAGCATTCTCCTACAGGACGTGACACCTAGCCGACGCTTGTCGTAGACACGCACCTGTCTGCTGTGTTGGCCATCTCTGTCAAGTCTTCTGGCGCAACGAAGAGTTTGCAAAGCGCGTACCTCGTGACGGGATCCACTGAGCCACTGAGGTGCTGTACTATAGGGTTGTGGGCGGAGCGCACCCTTTCTGCGACAGGCTATCGGTAAGCTCTGCTCCCATGACACCGGTATCTGACCTCACATTCAGCAACATGTGTCGCTGTTGCCAGCAAGGAACATGCACTGCAAGGCCACAGAAGGAGGGAGGGACAAAGAGAGGGGGAGGGGTGGGAGGGAGTGAGGGAGGGAGGGACGGAGGGAAGGAGGGAAGGAGGGAGGGGAGGGGAGAGAGAGAGAGAGTGAGCAAAGATCACATAGATCCACACGCCGGTCCCAAAGCGATGTCGCAGTCTGCAAGGTCGTCTGTCGTCAAGGGCCTGCGCGAGATTGCCAACAAGTAGTCTTCGAACTTGGACACAACAGCAGTGAGCCCCACCTGATGTTGGACTCAGGCACTGAGACCTTAGCACATGTAGGTAGGCAAACTAGCTGCAACTTGGAACCAAGTCCGTGGCCATGTCTGCAGAAAACGTGGCCACTGTCCATTCGCCGGTCTCATCGCTGAACTCGATGAGCTGGCCCTCCGCGCAGAAAACGAAAGGGCGCCAGCGAACAAACACTTCGACTCATCCTGAAGCATCGGACTGAGGGTCTCAGCAACTTTTTAAGGACCTGCACGGCCTGCACATACCTGGACTCGATGAAGAAACTTGGCGCCACCCTCCCTTGCATCTTTCGGAGATCTTGCCCCTTTCAGAGGAGAGGCCAATGTCTACAGTACAGAACGAGACGTGAGTTTATAATTTTCCTGTTCGGGCCGCTTGTAGTTTCTGGAGGCTCTTGGGTGGCTTAGGTGTCAGTCCTGTGGGTTTTCGGTACGTTTCCGGGGACTGCCCTGTTGCCGTGGTTTCTCGCTGCGGCGATGTCCGTTCCTTCCGCTTGCACCATGCGACAAGCTGGAACTTCCGCCAAGGCATCTGTGCCTACCTTCTAGGCAGATGTCGAATGCATCTATCTAGAAGCGGCACAAAATATCACACTGTGGACAGTCTGCAATGCTGGCCTGCTGGCCATTGAAGTCGCGGGCTCCTTTGTCGCCATCTTGTCTCCAGCGCTCTGAAGTAGCCTTCGGCGCCTGCAGCAACTGTAGTTTCGTCTCCGTACAATGAAAGCGCCAAAAAGTGACGAGCCTGAAGCCCGTTGATCTCGACCAACTGACCACGTCTGGCCAAGACAGGGACCATGCCAGGCTGCCAATCGGTGGACCCAAAACATGCCAGTCGTGCATGAGCCGGGCGGTAGAGGGCATCTTCACGACGTAGCCTGGACTGGTGGTCAGAACTGGAACTGAGAACCAGAAAAAACCGGCACAGTCAGATTCTGATAGGCGGCCAAGTCACGTGGCCCGGATCACATGTCGGCTCTAACCCCCTCTCCTAGAGAGAGTGCTGTGTGGCCGCGGGCACGGTTGGGTTCCTTTCCCTTTGAGGACATGATGAGGCTTTTTACAGACGGTATGCAGCCACCTTCGAAAGAATTTTTGCACGATAATCAGGTTTGCAGATTTCCTGGTTTGCTGCAGAGTATGTCTGCATGGCCAAACGCGGGGAAAATCGTGACCACGCATACTCGCAAGAAAATTGTGATGGCAGCAACTCTTAATTAGCCAAAGGGCAGCTTTTAAAGCTAGTCCACGGCTGGTCGGTTGGACTACAGACAGGAACATCTTCTACCGTTTGACACATTATCGTGTCGCCCTCCTGCGTGCGACAGGTTGGAGCTGCCTCCATGAACGGGTCATAGCTTTGTACACGCACACGAATGGACAGATTCGTGGCCCAGAGAATTCAAGCAGATTTGTGGAAGGCTCATCAGATATCCAATTCCTTCATGAGTTCCTGCACCAAGACAAGACACAACACCACGCAAAGTCCACGTTGCTCTCCTGTGTTGCCTCATGTCATTGCACTTGGCTTGCGTACACAGCTGCTCGTCCTCTAGATTGCGTGCTTTGAAGGGCGACTCGAACTTGACGCTGAGCCGTCCAAAGGCCGAATTTTCCATCTGCACAGCCAAAGACACTCCCAATAATCAAAGCATGCAGCGGTCGTCATCGTCGCACAAAGATCAGGAACACGGTCCATCCGTGTGTTACGACACAGACTTGGAGAGGAAGAACTACTGTCAGCTCTCCACCCCCACGATCCCCTACGTCGTACATGCGACTGTGAGTAACATGTTGGTATTGCTACCTGCTCTGTGGAGCTCATTCAAACCGCCTCAGTAATGATCTAAGTTGCCTTTTTGGGGAAGCTTGGCTTGAACTCCGCAGTCCGGCTGCACTTCTGACTGGCAGCCTTCTTTTTGCCGACAGGATGATCAGTGATGTTCTCTTGGTGCGTCGAAAGCCTAGGATAAACCCTGAGCAATTGGGGCCGGTAAGCCCTCGCACAGACTCTGAACCCGGTCAGCCGCAGATGCCCCAAATCCAAAGGCCGAATGTCTAATTACGAACTTGTAACCCCACTATGACCATTCTCACGGGACGTGGGTGAGCTGCATGTGGGGGATGGCAAGAGCGGATGACTCGATCCGCGCGTGGGGTTTGTCGAATCGTGTGTTAAATGTGCCGTGGCTTCTGCACTTACTGCACAGCATGAACATTTCCAACTGTCGGTTCGATGTGGCCGAAGCAGGGTTTCTTGCTCGTCCGGAGTCTAGGCCTTTCAGCGGACGACATTGCGAAAACGGGAGATCTTTGCTATCCAGAGCCCGGCAGAGGTTGGGGGCTTCACTTGGCCTCAACCAGAGGGCCAGGGGGGAGGCTGCTCGAAGCTCCAGTTGGGCTCACCACATGGTGCAATCGATGAAGCGGGCGGAGTCAAAGGCTTGGTGTACGATGCATCGCACCGATCCCATGGCTTCCGAGACAACTATTCTCAGGCCTCTCCCACTCACGGGTTGAGTTTTGCTGAGCACAGGAGACATGACGCGCACGCATGGCTTGCCTCTTGGTATCTCCTGGCCCTCTCTTTCTCCAATTGTCCGAGCCTTCAACCATTTGGGAAAGGGTTCGAAGCAAAACTCGGAGCGCAGCCACTCAAGCCTCGGCAAGTTGTTGAGAGTACGATCGATGGTCGCGAGAGATGCCCGGTAGATCAATTTCTCACCATACCTTGTTTGGCAACAACACGAGTTCTGGCAAGATGCATGTATGGTCTCGACACGGTCTGGGTGTCCCTCCTGACTCTCAAAGCATTTCGCTGATTCCTGGGCAGGAGCTCGAACCTGCCATGGCCGGTGAAGGCTTATGGCAGAAATTTGCAAAGTCGGTCAGAAAGCTAAGCAGCGGGCATCTGCCTATCCCGAATCAGGGCCTGAAGACCAGGGCCGTATTGCCACGAACCTAGACCAGCCAGAGAATTCCAAGCGCCTCATCTTCTTGGAGAGTTGTGGGATAAGCATCCTGCAACTCCTTGACTCAGAGAAGGTCTGGTTCGACATCATGCTTGTCATGTGTCGATCCAGATGCTCCTGTATGATGCCCCGCAAGCAGATCAGCGCACCGCGCTCACTGACCCTCGGTGGCATGTTCTACACCTTTTGCGACTGCTTTTAGAAACCCAGGGTTTATGCTGCTGGTTCCGACAAGCTACTATTCCTATGAACTCACTGCACGCATCATGAACATCATTGCCTGGATTCGCGTACGGCAGCGCGAAGCACAAAAAAATTCTGTTGACGGCCGCGGGAGGGTAGATAGGGTAGACGAGGCCGTGGGGTTCGGGTAGGGACCACCACGCGCACGCACGCACACACACACACACAAGCACACACACACACACACACACACATCATGTGATTTCGGCGATGTGCTAAGGAAGCTCACATCAAACGATCAGTTCCCGCACACTGCTTTTGGTTCCCTGCGCTGCAAGTTGCCAAATCACATGCCATGTTTATGTAGCTTGAGACCAGTGAAACGTCCATCTGGAAATGTTCGGGATGTGGCTAAGCCTTACCCAGTACGGTAGATGTACATTTTGCTGCATCAGTCGAATTGGTGATCGTCGAATGCTGTACTGTTCGTTTGTGGGCGGGATGCACAATTGCTCTTTGACGTCATCGACGATGGACTTGGTTGGCACATCGATACGAAGGGCCGCGATGCATGGCTTCTGTATGTCGTCAACCCAGATGCTGTGGATGCCTCCCTGGTGCTGTGCGGTTTGGTGCGCAGCACGCTCCGGCAATTGAGACGTGGTGGCGTCAGGTTTCATGGTATTATATACCAGGAGAGTTATATAAAGGAGCCAAGATGAAGCCGCGAAGTTAGCTGCATGACACAAGTGCTGAGGCATACCATGCTCAGATCCGCTCGGTTGTTTTACTGCGCGATAACGGATTGGTCTGTGTAACCGGCCGTCTCATTGAGTCGGCGCATGGCTCGAATGGCTTCCTGTGCTCGGGCGCTGGGGGCACAGACTCGCTGTATGAGTCGTGTGCGTGCTTCGTAGCTGCTGCATAAGACCCGTTTGGTAGTGGCTGCGGTATGTCAGCAGTGGTGACGCTGTTGTGGTGCGTGAGACCATATCTGCGCGGGTCCACGGCGAAACCCAGGAAAACATTGGCCGGCTCAGTTTCAAGCTGGTCGGTGGCCAGGCAAAGTTTGGAACTGTGAGTTGCCGAAATGGTGGTAGTTGTGTGAGGTGTGTCGGCAGCAATAGGACACGGTTGTATTGCGGTTGTCCACGTATCTCTTGGCGAGAAACAGTGCGTGTCTTGTGTGAGAATGCTGCGGAAAGTGCTTGTGGTTGAATATTAGCTGTCCGTATGTGTGGTGCCAGCGCTGCGCCTCAACTGTGACCACCATGTTGCAAAGTGCGAGGCGGCATGGGGATCCCATGGGTGCGCCCCTGAGTTGCTTGACCAATGTGCTGCCTACAATGAAATAATTCAGCATAAAAACAGCTGCAGTCATCGTGGGAATGTGTTGATGTGTATGCCGTATGCCATCCTTGCAGCCTGCTGCCGGTGGCATCCTCACGCTGCTTCTGTCTGCTTTTTCCGCAGTGTACCCGATGCTTCGGGTCTGTTTGTGTGGTCGATGTGAAACGCTGGGGCGTTGGTGGAGTTTTTGGCTTGGTACCAGCGCGCCATGATGTGGTAAGCTGCAAGAAAGCGGTCTTTGTCCACGGATGTGAAGAAGCCCACAAGGTCCTGCTTTTTTGAAGCAGGGTCTGCTCCTGATGAATTGCATCAGGACAGGCCTGGTTGGTCATGAGTTGCAGTATGCCGGCCAGATCTTCCCACAGTGGTTTGCCCATGGTATTTAGAAACGCGACGATTGGTCTACCTTTCTTGTACTGTTGTTGCGCGTTTGGGAGTGTATAAGCCTGCGGGATGCATCCCCATTGCTTGAAGGCCCATCTGTAGGTGGGGAGGATGCTGCAGATGCGATTGTAAGTGTCGAAGTCGTGCGTCGAGGGCGCTGATGTGGAAATGGTGAAGACATCTGGGTCGGTATAGGTGCTGTCTCCGCTCGTAGATGCTGTTTTGTGGTGTCGAAACGGATGAATTTGTTGAAACATAGTTGGGATACTGTTTGCCAAGTTTGCTTGCGAGTTCTGAAAAGAGGTGTTCTGTTGAAATCCGTGGCTGTAGGGGGTAAGTGGCCTCGTCTGAGTTTGGCTCAGAGTGTGCTGGAGCCACTGCTCTTGTTGTTGGCAGCTTTGTTGAAGCCGGAGAAGGCTCCCTTCATGTGATCGCAGCTGAAAGGGTAGTTGAGTTTTGACCGATGATGCTGTATGTAGGTGTTTTCTGTGGCTTCCAATTCCAATTGTGATGCGGTGGTGTCGTTGTGGAGAACGATGGGAATGTAGTCGTGGTAGCATCGGTGTTTGTGCCACCACGGCAAGGAAATTTCAACTTGCACTATTTTGTGTGCTGAGTCAGTTTTATTTGCGATTGTGTGTGCTTTCGCATTTGGTCATCGTGGCGTGGCTGCGGCGGAAGTCACGTGCGCGCTGTGCACCAGAGCCAAGTGCTTGTTGTAGTAGTCACTCAGTCATCTGCGAGATGATGGCAACCAGTTTGAGCAAGGCCGGGTTGCTTAATATTGCTCGATGGTTTTATGCGGAATGCCCCAAGCGATTGCTGCTGCGTGTGAGCTGATTTCTTGTTCGGTGGTAAGAGTGGGCAAGGCTCTTGCTGTTGCTTCGATGAATGGCTTGCATTGCCGTCGTTGTTTGTCTGAAATCTTTTAGAATAGATTGTCTTTGTTTCATTGGCTCCGAGCACGGTTTTGCCTGGGCAGTGTGGGCCTCTAAACGAATTGGGGGTTGTTGGCGTCCGGGCTTGCTGCAGTTGGGTCAGGACTGGTTGGCAACGGTGAGTCCAGCAATGGCGAGTCCGGTTTTTTTCGTATGCCGTATGGGGTGGATTGCATGTAGCGTGGTAGGGTAAGGCCGAAAATTTGGCGATTGTCCCACAGGCCCGTCGTCTGGACAAAATCGTGTGGAATTTGTGGGTTGTGTTGTGGTAAAGTTGGATTGCTGTGTGAGTTGTGTTGTTGTTGTTGTTGTTG